CTGTGACCCTCCAGCCCCTGATCACGACCGCTACCTCCAATGCAGCTCAAAAAAAATTTGGGTAGTTTAAAAAGGGCACTTAAACTGAAAAAATTTTTTGCAACAAAGAATTGAAATTAATATTTCAACGATTTTAGGGGGGTTTTAAGGCCCCCCTAACAGCATTTCAACAACTATTTTTATCTGTTAAACAGCATTTTAATTCGATGTCATGGGGGCATCACTTATCAGTCCCTTTGCTTTGCTCACTTGGTTTCAAATTGCAAGAGGTCTTTGATTTTATCGGCCATATTACGAATTTTCTTGTAATAAAATTTTGTCCGAGGGAGTCGGGGCCCCAAAATTTTGAAAACACATATTATTATAATCTAAAATTCAAACTGAAAATCTGTTTTTGTTCGAAAAAATTGTGTTAAACCCTAAAATTACAAAACCCTTAAAGGGAAAAAGGTTTTATTTAAAAAAAAAAATATCAATCCCAATTTTCTTTTTTTTTTGTTAAAAAATTCCCAAAATTTTGGGATCCCCCCAAAATAAAAACAAAAAAAACAAAGTTTAAAAATTTTCAGTTTTTTTTGGCGCCAAAAAATGGCAAAAAAGGGGGCGTGGCTTGGGGCCGTCCACAAATGGTTTCTTCCTTCTTTTTCCCCTTAATTTTTTTCTTTTTATTTTTTTATAAAAAAAACCTTTATCCCCCTTTTTTTTAAAAAAAATAACCCCAAATTTTCTTTTCTTTTTCCCCCCTTTAAAATTCATTTTTCCAAAAAAATTTACCCTTTTTTTTGGGTGAGTTTCCAAAAAAATTTTTTTCCCCCTTTTGGGTTTTTTGAGTTTTATTTCTTTGGGTTTCCCTTTTTTTTGGGGTTTCACCCCCCGCAGATTATTTCCATTTTTAAATTATTTACCTATTTTCCCACCAACCCCATTTTAATTGGGACTCCCCCCTTTTCCCAAAAATTTTCCCTTTTTTTTTTAATTTTTAAGGCCCCCCTTCCCAGAAAAAACCTTATTTTTTGGGGTTTCCCCCGCCAACTTTTAATTTGAGGTTTAAAGAAAAATTTTTTCTTTTTTTTTTGGGGGCCCTTTTTTTGAGTTGTTTTAATTTTTTGAGTTTTTTTCATTTTTTTCCCCCAAAATTTTATTTAAAACTAATTTTTTATCATAGAATTATTATTGAAAACTTTTTATTACCCCAAGATAAATTTTTTTATAATTGGGTTCAAACCGCCCCCAATTTATTTTATTTTTAAATTAAAAAATATAAATAAGACAAATTTAAATTTTTGGGTATCAAATTTTTCCCACAACAAAAACCCTTAATTTAAAACAATAAAAATTATTCCACCCAAAATTTTTTTTAAAGGGGACCCCAAACAAAAAACCTCCCAATTTTAAAACCCTTTAATTTAAAAAATTAGGTTTTTCTTTTTTCCAAAATTTAAATAATGTTTTTATTTATAATTGGGGCTATCACCTTTCCAGAAAGATTTTAAACCCTTTTTATTTAATAATTGGGTTTTAACCCCCTCCGCCGGGGAAAATTTCCCCTTATTTAAAAATTTGGGTTTTTACTCCCCCTCCAGAAACCAAAAAACCCTTATTTATAATTGAGGTTTACTCACCCCCAAAAACCCCAAACCCCCTTTATTTTTTAATTGAGGTTACCCCACCTCCGCAAAATTGACCCTTTTTTTAAAATTTTAAGGCACTCCCCTCCAGCAAAACCAAAACCCCTTATTTAAAAATTGAGGTACTCACCCCCAAGCGACTTCCCGGGCCCTCTAATTTTAAAAATTTTATTTTTTATTTCACCCCCCAGCAGACAAAAACCCCTTTTTTTAAATAATTTAAAGGGGTTTACTCCCCCCAAAGCGATTTTGCCCCATTTTTTAAAAATTAACCGCTTATTATTTTCCCCTCCACAACTAAACCCTTATTTAAATTGAGGCTTTTCACCTCCACCCAAATTTGCCCCCTTTAAATTTATAATTTGAGGTTACCCCCCCTCCACAGCCCCAAAAAAACCCCCTTTATTTTTTAAAAAGGGGGTTTTTTACTCACCCCCAGAAAGACTAAAACCCTTTATTTAAATTTAAGGTTACCCCCTTTCCACAAAAACCAAAAAACCCTTTTCTTTTTAAATTGGGCTACTCACCCCCCACAAAACCCCAAAACCAAAAAAACCCTTTTTTAAAAATTTGAGGAAACCCCACCCCCCCAGCAATTTAACCCCTTTAAAACTTTTTTTTTTAATTAAAGGCTTCACCTCCCAGTTTAAACCTTATTTATTTTTGAGGTTACTCACCTCCAGCAGACTTACCCTTATTTATAATTGAGGAAACTCACCCCCACAAAATTTAAACCCCCCCCCTTTTTTATAATGGGGCTCCCTTCACCCCCCCCACCCAGCCCCAAACCCCCTTTATTTAAAATTTAAGATTTAAATCACCCCCCGGGCGGGACTCCCCCCTTTTTTATAATTAAGGCCCTTACTCCCCTCCAGCAAAAAAAACCCCCTTTATTTATAAAACCATTTTTAACCCAAACTTGCCCCATTAAATTTAACCCCCCCAAAACCCCAAAACCCCCCGTGAAATTGGGACTAAACCCCTTAAATTTTTAATTATTCCCAAAACCCCACAACTTGACCCTTTGGGAAAAAAAATTTAAAACCTACTCACAAAAAAGGACCAACCCTTTTAAACCCCGGACACACCTCCAAAAAAACTTCCCCATTATAATTTGGGGCTACCCAACCTCCAACACTCTAAACCCCAAAATTTATTTATTATTTAAATCCAAAAAACCTAACAACCCTTTTTGCCTTTCCTTTCCCTTAACTTTCTTTTTTTGGGAATTTAAATAAACCCCCAAAAGGGAAACCAAAACCCCTTTTTTTAATAATTGGGGGCTAACCTCACCCCAAACCAAATTTAAACCCCTTTTTAAAAAAATTTAAAATTAAAGGGCCCCCAAACCTTCCCAGGGCCTAATTTCCTTCCCCTTTTTTATAATAACCCCCCTCACCTCCCAACAAACCCTTAAACCCTTTTTAAATTTTCTTTTTGGATTTTTTTTTTGGGGTTTCCCCCAAACTCCAAAACTTTATTTTAAAACCCAAAAATAATTGAGGCTCCCTCCACTTCCACAAAAAAACCCTTTATTTAAAAAAGGAAACACCCCCAAAAACCCCACCAAAAAACCCTTTAAACCCCCCCCTTTTTTTAAATTAATTGATTAAAATTTTTATTTCAAAAAAACCCCCAACCCCCCAAGACAAACCCAAACCCCCCAAACCCCATTTTAAAAACCCCTCACTCCAAATGCAAAAATTTATAAAAAAAAATTTATAATTGGGTTTAAAAAAAAAACCCCACCCCCCCCTTTTCCGAAAACCCCCCCCTTAAATTTTTTTAAAATTGGGGTTTCCCTCACCCCAGCCGAAAAAACCCCTTATTTATAACTGAGGTTACCCCCCCCAAGCTAAAAACCCTTATTTATAATTGGGGTTACTCCCCTCACAGACTTTACCCTTTATTTAAAATTTGGGGGTTACTCCCCTTTCCAGCAGACAAAAACCTTTTTTTAATTGAGGCTACCCCCCCCAGAAAGGACCAACCCCTTATTTAAATTGATTTTTACTCACCCCCCACCCGACTAACCCTTTTTTTTTAAAATTTTAGGGGTTTTCCTCACCCCCACAGCCCAACCCTTTTAAATTTATAACTGAGGTTACCCTCCGGGCAACCAACAAACCCTTATTTATAATGAGGTTACTCACCTCCAGCAGAATAAACCCTTATTTATAACTGAGGTTACTCACCTCCAGCAGACTAAACCCTTATTTATAATTGAGGTTACTTCACCTCCAGCAGGACTAAACTTTATTTATTACTGAGGTTACTCACCTCCAGCACACCTCCAGACTAAACCCTTTTTATAATTTGAGGTTACTCACCTCCAGCACGACTAAACCTTATTTATAATTGAGGTTACTCACTCCAGCAGACTAAACCTTTATTATAACTGAGGTTTACTCACCTCCAGCAGACTAAAACCCTTATTTATAATTGAGGTTACTCACCTCCAGCAGAATAAACCCTTATTTATAACTGAGGTTACTCACCTCCAGCAGACTAAACCCTTATTTATAATTGAGGTTACTCACCTCCAGCAGACTAAACCTTTATTTATTACTGAGGTTACTCACCTCCAGCAGACTAAACCCTTATTTATAATTGAGGTTACTCACCTCCAGCAGAATAAACCCTTATTTATAACTGAGGTTACTCACCTCCAGCAGACTAAACCCTTATTTATAATTGAGGTTACTCACCTCCAGCAGACTTGACCCTTATTTATAATTGAGGTTACTCACCTCCAGCAGAATAAACCCTTATTTATAATTGAGGCTAATCACCTCCAGCAGACTAAACCCTTATTTATAATTGAGGTTACTTACCTCCAGCAGACTAAACCCTTATTTATAATTGAGGCTACTCACCTCCAGCAGACTAAACCCTTATTTATAATTGAGGTTACTCACCTCCAGCAGACTTAACCCTTATTTATAATTGAGGTTACTCACCTCCAGCAGACTAAACCCTTATTTATAATTGAGGTTACTCACCTCCAGCAGACTAAACCCTTATTTATAATTGAGGTTACTCACCTCCAGCAGACTAAACCCTTATTTATAATTGAGGTTACTCACCTCCAGCAGACTAAACCCTTATTTATAATTGAGGTTACTCACCTCCAGCAGACTTGACCCTTATTTATAATTGAGGTTACTCACCTCCAGCAGACTAAACCCTTATTTATAATTGAGGTTACTCACCTCCAGCAGACTAAACCCTTATTTATAATTGAGGTTACTCACCTCCAGCAGACTAAACCCTTATTTATAATTGAGGTTACTCACCTCCAGCAGACTAAACCCTTATTTATAATTGAGGTTACTCACCTCCAGCAGACTAAACCCTTATTTATAATTGAGGCTACTCACCTCCAGCAGACTTGACCCTTGCTCTGAACCATTCCTGAAACTCCCCACTAAAGCACAGTACCAGTTGGTCTAACTCCGGGGTGGTCCCTGATGCAGCAAACGTCTCTATCCCTTCTCCTCCTACTTGCACGTGTTGTAGGAACTCGGTTGCTTTATCCTGTTGGATTATCGTTTATCAAGGGTATTTAGCGAATACGTGATTGTAATTTGTATTATTACAATCAATTGTTTTATCATTGCTGAAATCTATCAAAGAAATTACAGGTGGACAGCCGGATGAATGTAAAGTTTAAGTACTTATAATGGGATAATAAAACCGATCTAGTATTCGTATACAGTACGAGATGTCGGTCATTAGCGCCAGGTAGTATTTGGTTGTTTGAATAATACCCGTTTGTTTTGTTTGATCAATAAACCTTTCTTTTTTTTTTCCTTTTTTTTTTATTTATTAACTGCGTGCAAATTTGTGTTTCAGATTTGATCTATTTATAATATGCATTTATGATTATGTAATAAAGTTATTACATTCGTAAACATTGACTGGCTTATAAACCAGTCCCCAAACAAACAAACACCTGCATTGGAGTGAGAAAGTTGGCGATAATGGTGGTAGGATTCTCAATGTTGCAGATAGCGGTGCTGAAAGTCGCACCAACCTCCAGCGTCACACAACTCGGCTTGAAATAAACAACCTTTCTGAAAATGTATGCTAATTTGAAAATGTGGATGCAAATGAAGGGAGAAGGGTAGATTGGGAGGAGGAAACAAATAATAAACTACTATAAGACTACTATAAGACTACTATAAGAATACTATAAGACTACTATAAGACTACTATAAGACTACTAGTATAAGACTGGGGGGGGGGGGGGGGCCAATGACTACCAATGGAGACTTTTGGGGACTAATGGGGACTAAAAATCATGGGGACTAGAGGTCAACTCGTTGATGTAATTCACCATTTGTCCCTTAAGTCCCCAGAATTTTTGACAGTTATTTAAGGTTTTCAAGTAGTTTTATAACGATACGATCGAGATGTTTTGTCCAAGATAGAGTAGGATAATCTGACTTAAAAGTAAAATGATAAGCCCGGTTGTAATGTGTTCTACCACTGTACAAGTCAGTTCAGATTGAGGTAAATTGAAGTTTTAGCTCTCGTGAAGGTAGAAGTAGCCGACTCGCTGAACTCTTGAATCTTATGACACCATCAGCATGGACATTATCGGGAAAATGATGATCGATTAGAATCTTACAGTTACTCCTCCTTGCACGATGCACAGGTCTCTAGAGTAACGGTACTGCATCACCTGACAGTAGTCGCCCCCGCCCCCTCCCTTAATTTACCTGAGGTACTCTAACAGCCCTCAAGTAGCTCCCAAGAAGTCAGAAATGTCCAGTGACCATTTATAAATATTCTAGACTAATGGAGACTTTTGGGGACTAATGGGGACTAAAAATCATGGGGACTCGGGGTACAATCGTTGACGTAATTCCCCAAGTCCCCAAAAGTAGTCATTGCCCCCCCCCCCCCCCATAGACTACTATAAGACTACTATAAGACTACTATAAGACTACTATAAGACTACTATAAGACTACTATACGACTACTATTATACGACTACTATTATACGACTACTATAAGACTACTATAAGACTACTATAAGACTACTATAAGACTACTATAAGACTACTATAAGACTACTATAATACTACTATAAGACTACTATAAGACTACTATAAGACTACTGTACTACTACTATAAGACTACTATAAGACTACTATAAGACTACTATAAGACTACTAGTATAAGACTACTAGTATAAGACTACTATAAGACTACTATAAGACTACTATAAGACTAATATAAGACTACTATAAGACTACTATAAGACTACTATAGGACTACTATAAGACTACTATACGAATACTATAAGACTACTATACGACTACTATACGACTACTATAAGACTACTATAAGACTACTATAAGACTACTATAAGACTACTATAAGACTACTAGTATAAGACTACTATAAGACTACTATACGACTACTATAAGACTACTATAAGACTACTATAAGACTACTATAAGACTACTATAATACTACTATAAGACTACTATAAGACTACTATAAGACTACTAGTATAAGACTACTAGTATAAGACTACTATAAGACTACTATAAGACTACTATAGGACTACTATAAGACTACTATAGGACTACTATAAGACTACTATACGAATACTATAAGACTACTATAAGACTACTATAAGACTACTATAAGACTACTATAGGACTACTATAAGACTACTATACGAATACTATAAGACTACTATAAGACTACTATAAGACTACTATAAGACTACTATAGGACTACTATAAGACTACTATACGAATACTATAAGACTACTATAAGACTACTATAAGACTACTATAAGACTACTATAGGACTACTATAAGACTACTATACGAATACTATAAGACTACTATAAGACTACTATAAGACTACTATAAGACTACTATACGACTACTATAAGACTACTATAAGACTACTATAAGACTACTATAAGACTACTATAAGACTACTATAAGACTACTATAAGACTACTATAAGACTACTTAAGAGTTACCGTTTGTTAGAGAATGATGTAAGCAGGGGTGGACCACTAGGTTTACTGAGAGGAGGTGGACCACTAGGTTTACTGAGAGGAGGTCGACCACTAGGTTGACTGAGAGGACCACCTTTAGAGCGAACCAGGCCTGCAGCTACTAGTTTACTGACCTCCTCCTCCCCACCCTCCGTACACAGCCTGATCACGTGTGTCTCTTCTTCTTTCCTCACAAACACACACCGCACCTCCTGAAATGGAATGGAGTCAGAGCTAACCAACCAGACTCACAAACACACACCGCACCTCCTGAAATGGAATGGAGTCAGAGCTAACCAACCAGACTCACAAACACACACCGCACCTCCTGAAATGGAGTCAGAGCTAATCAACCAGATAGCTGTATTATTACCGCGGGAAATAACCAGTAAAGGAGCAATGTTTCAGTCTGACCAACTCGACCGCACCCAGGGTATGATTATAAAATAAACCTTGACATCTGGGTACTCCGTCTTGAGGTACTGCACGACTGTTTCTGGTTCTTTAGCCAGCTCAACTCCGTCCAGGTCCAATCTGCATTTTATTGCCTGAGGGTCATTTTTATCAATAAATTGAGCAAGTTTACAGTTATAAACTAGTCAGCTTCGGGCGGTGTGCTATGCTATTATGAAAATTCAAAATAGCAAGAAATGGTTGAGAAAGGGGTCAAGCCTAGCCTGAAATTAGGTCACATACGAGCTGAGGAATGTTAAGGTATTCTCCAGAGAGTTTCCAGAGATCCGCAGCGTTGAACAACTCAAAATTACCGAAGTCAACGAATTTAACTTTGATCATTTTATTTGGGAGAAGGGCCGAAACTAAACCTCGTCCGGGCATGCCTTCAAACAGGGCCACAACTGCATCGTTAACAGCAAAACAACCTGCAGAAAAAAATCGTTAAAGTTGGAAAAGAGCTTAAAAAAGAGCTTGGAAAATAGCTTAAATCAGAGCATTGTATGGTGTGTCATTTAAGACCTGCAACTTTAGATATACAAGCGAGGAGTACAAGCTTACAAGGAATACAAGGAGGAGTACAAGGCAAATAGAGTCTATAATTTGTTCTATTTTAGGGTCTAAAAGTCTATTTAATAGACCATTGAAAGTTGACACTCACCGTCCCGGTAAAACGATTCTAAATAAAGAACTGGAAATATGCCAATTAAATTACCTCCAGCAAGAGAAGGGTTCGTAACAAGTCCTCGCAGAGAATCAGTTAATTCCGCTAATAATGTACAATTTGAGAGTAGGCTCACATACATCTGACAAATAGATAATCAGTAAATAATACACAATCAATAGACAAAATAAATAATAACTAACTAATAATAATACAATGAATAATTCAGAATTATATGATTTTTGTAAAATTCAATCTTTTGGGATCTTTCAGAATGGGAACCCCCGGGCCCCTTCTAAAAGAAATAACTCACCTCTTTAAGGTTAGTTAGGTAGGACACATTAGCAGATAAGCCTTGTCTAGTACAATCTGGTCCCTTGTGTCATCTAATACTAATATAAGGGTTTTTCTTGGGTCCGCTTGCTGAGAGTTGTGATATTAGTTATAGTATATCATCATCGGCATAAGAAAAAAACAAGGTGCAACAATTGAGAATTAGATGGAGAGAAGGGAAAAACAAGGTGCAACAATTGAGAATTAGATGGAGAAAAGGGAATAGCTCTTTGTTACTATGACCCTAAATCAGTTATCCAGCTAAAATATACCACCTTATTAAGGTATTAGCACTAAAAAGGGATCCTTACCACGAGACGCATGTCCATTAGCGACCATCAAATCTCCAAGATCCTCCCCCGATACCAGAGTAGATTAACCTCTAAACATCACCCGTCCATCTAAAGTTGTAGTTTAATAATTTATTAATTTTGGTGGTCAGATATTTATATTTTTCCATATAGTGATTTGATACTTTGTAGACATGTGTGATGATGTTATGTCATAATTTTTACTTTACTTAACTTTACTTTACCTCGTCTACTTTACTAAGTTTCAGCTCGCTCCCACTCTGCTGCAGGTGACTGGAGAAGAACTGCGGACCTGCTCTGAGTGCTCGTTTGGGACCAGCAAGTCGTGTAAACGGCACGGCACAGCCTGGGGCAATCACGTGCACCAGGTGAGCGGTGGGTCTTATATCCTGAACCCTGACCTCGTCCTCCGTCGCGAAGTCAAACATCCTCACTTTAATCCTCTCCGCTCCAGTAGTCAGAACTTCGGCTCTGTACCAGTTACCGTCGTTATACAGGGCTGAGATAACATCACCCACTGTGGAGATAGATAAGGTTATAGAGATAGGGATAGGGACAGGGACAGGGACAGCGGACAGGGACAGGGACAGGGACAGGGACAGGGACAGGGACAGGGACAGGGACAGGGACAGGGACAGGGACAGGGGCAGGGACAGGGACAGGGACAGGGACAGGGACAAGGGCTGAGATAACATCACCCACTGAGATAGATAAGGTTAACATAAAATTAATGGAGGGGAAACAAGTTGCGATCGCTAAACTTTCTCTTGAGGAGAAAGAAATATACCAAAGAAATATACAAAACTTGAACTATTGATAAGAGTGTAAAAGGGATTTAGGAACAATGGACAGCCTCATCCTATATATTACCCGATGGAGCAATGTAAAAAAAAGTAAACAGTGAAAGTAAACCTTCTGGTTTAAAGTGAGAGGGAGCGGGTGTTCAGGACACAAACTGTACATAGTCTCTATAATGTTCTCTATAACCTCCTGGTTATCTGTAAGCTGCACGTGGAACTGAAGTGGGGAGCATCCCGACACCCACAAACACTTGCAACTATCTGGGATTGAAATCTGAGAGAGTTAGAGGGGTCAGTAAAGACACTTGCAACTATCTGGAACTGGGATCTCTACTCTTCCCTCTAGACCCCACCCTAAGCTCCCACCCTCCAGACCCAGCCCACCCTCACCACCCTCTAGACCCCCACCCTACAGCTCCCACCCTCCAGACCCCACCCCCCCCCCCACCCTACAGCTCCCACCCTCCAGACCCCCACCCTCCAGACCCACCCCCCCACTCTCCACCACCCTCTAGACCCCCCACCCCCACCCTCCACCCACCCTCCAGACCACCCCACCCTCCAGGCCCTCACTTTCCAGGCCCAGCCCCTCTGAGGCCTGAGCTGTCATTACCTTTGGTAAGGAACGTCATTTTTCTAGTGGCTTAATCGGTTCTGGACTAATTGGAGCCTGAAAATATTACTATCATTAAATAAAGACGTACTGAAAATTCATCTAAATCAAAGAGAAACACTTTTAGAAGTTTGGAAGCTGGATAATTATAATATTGTTCAATTAAATATAATTAATTAAATATAATTAATTAAATGGACTAACACGTGGGATGGAGGGACTGTTTTGCTGAATATCCTTATGTCGCTGGTCGAGTTTACTCCCAATAGTCCCTACACATATCAACTGGTGAGCAGGCCAATCTGCCATCTGTAAACAACAAATATTATTTAATAAATAAATTATAATTAATTAATATAATTAATTAAATTATCATCACGTAGTCCGGTAGGTTATGCAAAGTGATACCTCCAACTCGGAATAAACTTATTTCAGTTCACATTTTCAATCGATAAGTCAATAGTGTGAAAATGATCACATTAGTGATATCATGTCAGTACAATTGCGCCATTTAGACAGAAGCGTGCTAAAATAGTCATACAATGAACAAAAGCTAGCCAAATAGCACTACTGCTAGGTTATATTCCTCAGTTACCTCATACCTGGCATGTTGATCCGCAATAAAAGGTCAGACCTTCGCAAGGTCCACAAGCATTTGTGGCCGGCATCTTGCACTTCGCACAGAACGTTTTATCAACTGGCTCACCTGAGTTTTACAGACGTCTGAAGGGTTAGATCATGAGTTTTATAGAGGCCTGCATATCCCCCTGAAGTCTAAATTAGGGAAGGTTCGCACAGTGCTCCAGGTTGTAAGGTATGATTTACATCAGAGTTGAAAAATACGCGAGATAATTTTTAAATACGCCGTATTTTGCGTATTTTTGCTTAGAAATAAAATACGTCAAAAATACTTTAGAATACGTTTTCCTATTTTTCTTCGTAAAATAGGTATTTTTCAACTCCGATTTACCTGGTCTCCTCCATTTAGGACGTCTGCTCTGGTTGAGAAGATACCAGGACTCGCTCTCCGACTGACACTGCTAACACATTCCTTTAGGACTGCGGCGTTTGTTCGGTTTGGGCTCATCTCTGACCCCCCTTGCTCCTGAAATTGTCCCTCCATTCCTGAAGTTGTCTCCTCCATTCTGAATTGTCCCCTCCATTCCTTAAGTTGTCTCCTCCCTTCCTTAAGTTGTCTCCTCCCTGTTTCATGTTCAGGAATTTCTTGCCTAGGTGCACACGGAGGAATGAAGAACCTAAAGGATGCCCACCTCATCAGTCTGATAGCTTCCATGACATTGATCCAGTGTCTGGTAGTGCACAAACCTGGGTAAACAGGTAGTTAATAGACTTATAACATAAAATTGAATTTTAAATAGAAATGTGAATATATTGAAATTTTAAACTTTCAAAACGGAGGCTTATAAATATTATTATATTATGATTGTAAAATAAAGGATATGATTTTAAATTTGTTTCACTAAAAAATTTGTTTCACTTTAATGACAATTCTAATGATATTTGGTTATTTGATATCAATTCCTGTCCCAGTATGCAACGCATCAGCTGTCAACCCCCTAATTTAAATGGACATTTGTTTTGTTATTTCGCGTATTCACCCATATCTAGTTCGTTATTGACTACTGTGTTGTCTCTGGGTATACCGGATTGCATGCCCCTGTACTGTTGCAATTTAATGTACAAATAATAACATTTTGGCTACAGTTAAACTCACCCAATCTTAGTCTTGTGTCCCTCTTTCATAGAAGGAACACTCACTCGAGTACTGAGCTTGAAGGTGGGGTAACTTGTCCACAAACAAGTTCCTCAACCCGTCTCGTTTATTTGAGGGGGGATTTGGGACACGTGCACTGAGGGTTCATTGTTACCACCCAGTGTGAGAGGTTACTGTTAATATTTCACTCTCAGTGACGGCAACATTTCATGGTTTTACCATTTAAACCAAACATCTATAGTAAGTAAGTAAGTATAAGCAAGAGTTTTGGGGCTGTTAGCTTTTTGAAACTTACCCGTTTGAAATCCCGGTCTGAGAATTTATTGTTCTTGAAATCATCCCTGAGAGGGTCCAAGGAGGCCATGTCAGTTCGTGGACCACTGTCAGGAGCCTGTAAACAATACAATATTGAGCGTTGAGAAGCAATGGTAAATGGATAGAACTCTGCAGTAGAAATACATAATAATGGAGATCCTGCCTTAGTGTGCGAGTGGAGATATTTTGTTCAAGAATAAAGACGACGGACAGTGGAGACTAACCTGTTCGCACGCTATGAAGCTCCACTGTTCTGAAAAGAAGACCAGTTGGAACCATCTCTTCCTCTGGGATCCGCAATATTAGTCGTAGGAGATAAATATTGGTAGATTAACAATCTACTGAAGTTGTCTTAAACAACAATTAAAGTTGTCTATGATTTTCAGCGGGAGAAACCCATGCCGAAATGCGTGAAGATAGCAAAGACGCGCGCTGAATTAGCGCGCGCAACACACGTTTTTCGTTGATGGTAACCAAATTTTATACAGAATAAATTACATTGTTAGCTAGTAAAAAATGATACGCTTGGAGAACGCGAACAATGTAGGTTATACCTGGCAACGGCGTCATATTGGTAATCACGGAGCCGAAATTGAGATTGCTCACAACTTTGCAGAATACCGAATTGCTGGTAAAGGAAACCTGGGAAAACGTAACCTCAAGCAATGGGGCTGACAGTCACAATACAAAGGGATTTCAGTGCGAATTCTCCCTAGTTCGTTATTGACTACTAGCATGTAGGTATACCGGATTACAAGCTCATTGCTCCTGTACAGTTACAATAGTGTTGCAATCAGTTAAGTAATCAGTTCGCCTTACCGTCCGTTATAATGCGCTCAGTTTGTTTTATGAAGACCCCCCCCCCCCCCCCCCCGCTGAAGAAGCGCTTTATAAAGACAAAGCCTTCAAATAAAAACAATTAAAGACGGCAAGGCTTCAAAATTGGAAAATTAAAGACAAAATAGATCGGATGTAATAAAGCACATTTCACACATTGACCTTACTTCTACCAGCAAATTTAAAGACGGGTTGCGATGAGTTAAAGACGATAAGGCTTTTAAAATGGAAAAAACTAAAGACGGTAAGGCTTTTAAAATGGCAAAGACTAAAGACGCTGAAGCCTTCGCCAAAATTAAGGTCGACTTTACATAACGAACTGTGTATCAGAGAAGAATATCTTTACCCCAATGCTAAACGGTCTGAAATGTAAAGATTGCAGCAAGAAGTTTCAGTTTTCAGTCGAAGAGTCAATTTTTAGTAGTAGCCATTTATGCTTCTATACTCCCCAAGTCGTCATTGACAACATTTTAAAAGTTTAAGTTTCTTTCATTTGACTTAGGGAGACAGATCCAAATATTTCCGTTACCATAATGATTGATTGGGAACTGGGTTTTACTACCCCAGTTAATGTTTACTAAAAATAGATATTGAACAGCAATTTAAAATTGTAAATATACATATAAAAGTATGTATAAAGGCTGCACCAGCTGACTAAGAGTAATGAAACAGCGATCTCTGAACAAGATTCGCCTAAAACCAGATTAATCCCTTGAAAACTATACAGTTTTGTATAAGTGAAATAAAATGGTTAGATCCTTCGACAAAAACTAAGCACACAGAAGACAAATACTCATAGAGCTAAACTTATTGATTTGCTCACAACACGAAAAATATTTAGAAACTCATTTTTGCCTCTCAAGGCTACAAATCTTCCCTTCACGAATGAAGAGTTTTTTGTCCTTCTCAATACCAGCTCTTCTTTTTAGCTCTAGGACAAGTTCTTTACGCTGAGCTCTCTCTTCTGCTGTACGATCTGGAGCTAGGAACACCCTCTTAAATCTCTCTGTTCCACACAGTTTACTCGACTTCTTCAGTATTTGTTGCACAATCGAAGAACTGGAAAAGGAAACTTTAACCGGTCTTGCAGCTGACGGTGATTTCTTGCCGATTTTACAAGCCTCAACTCGGGGTTTCTCTCCCAATGATTCCAATACTTCAGCGACTTTTGTATTGATCTCCTCATTGACCTCCTCGCATAGCCCAAAGACCATGATGTTCCTACCCAACTCCTCCTCCAAAGCAATTTGCTTGGCAACTGATTTAATGGATTCTGTAGAAATCGCAGCTGAGTTCTCGATACTACCGGATTTCACCACATCGCTAAAACTTTGTTTAACTGAACTGACTTCTTTCTGAACACCCTCAAAAAACTCAGTCTTGAGATGTTCGTTAAACTCTATCGCCTTAGAAAGTCCTTCTTTTGCAGATAATAGTTGCTCCTGTAGTTTTATAACTTGGTCCTGCAACTGTATCATACTAGACTAACGTGTACCCTCTGATTTATGATCATGTTATGCTGTCTCTCAATGAGCTGCATGGCTTGCAAAAACTTTGCCGCTAAATCCCCCTTGTTACCAATTTTGTTCACGCTCTCATGATTTAGTTCTTGAACACAATCGACTTTACACTGTTTCACGGTATCAAGTAGCAACTTTTGTCCATCGGTCTCTACTAAGTCAAATTTGAAACGTTCTGCTACTGTCGGCATATCGTTGATCAGTTATACACAGTGTATAGTATCCGTAAAACAAGCTGTAGCTGCGAGTATGAGATAGTTGTTATACAATAGTAACATTTGTCAGAATAAAACCAATGTTTTTTAATGTTTGTGTGTAGATGGGATTTTGAACTGATAACAACTTCTTCAGTTAGGCCGAGAGCCGATTAGATAAGAATTTCAGGTATGTACATTTTACATGTGTATTAGTGTGGCCGAGAGCTGACTAGATAAGAGTTTCAGGTATGTACATTTTGCATGTGTTATCTGTATTAGTGTTGCCACAGCCACCTCACTAATAGTATCCAGAAAAGATTAGTTGAAGTGAGGTCTGCTCAAGCTGATCAGACCTATAGTGATATTACTAACACAAACGATTCAAGGAAAATGTTTGAAGCAGTAAGACATCTTCAGAAAAGTAAACCACCTAATAACTCGATTGGTGTTCATGATGAAAATGGCTGTTTGATTGCATCTGACGACATGAAAGCTTCTGTTGTTAGAGACTATCTCGAAAAACAGCTGACTCGCAATGAGCAACCTCTCGAGCCTTTTGAGGGTCTACCACGTGCTCTCAATGTCCCTTTTACTGGAGTTGAAATACATGCAGCCACCTCTAGCTTGAAAAATGGGAGGGCAAATGGTCCCGATGGAATACCCAACGAGCTAATTAAGTACTCTAATAGTACGGGGGGAATGCAACGTCAATTAATGTCAATTAATGTCAATGTCAGTTTTGCAAAATTTTGGAATACTGACATTAATTGACACGATATTTTTCGACCAGAGATTATGTAGTTCTACCATATTTTTAGCACTTTAGAACGTTTATATCATCAATTTATTCACTACTATCACATATGGAAATGTGAAATGTGAAAAAAATTCAGATCATTAAACAATAAAACTAAAATAATACGGTTTCCCGAAATTTAATTTTCTTAAATGGGCGTGGCCATCCAAGGGCGTGGTTCTCAACATCATCAGAACTTAAAACCCACATTAAACGAAATGCCTTCATGACATTTATACTTGAAAAACGAATCTTAAACAGCTAACATTACTCCTTCATACTAAAAAAGCCGATTCTAGATATTTTACGAGTATAAGAAACCAATAAAATATGGGCGTGGCCGGTGGGGACCGAAGGTGGAAGAGTTGGAAGCTGAAATTTTTTTCGGTGGTCTTTGAACCTAAGGATCAACAGATAAGAACATACTCATAATTATTCAAGGACATTTTGTTTTTTTGAACCGGTCTAACTTACATAGACGTGAATATCTTGAATATCTTGAATATTTATCGAATAATGATAATCTCAAATTTCAAGACATATTAATGTCAATTAATGTCAATTAATGTCAATTAATGTCAATTAATGTCAATGTCAGTTTGGGGTTTTTATGGAATACTGACATTAATTGACGTTGCATTCCCCCCAATAGTACAGTCCATGAACATTATGCTGGAATCATAAACAGTTGTTTCGAGACACATACTTTTCCCATTTCCATTGGAGAGGCTACTATAACACCCTTACAGAAGCCTAAAAAACCTATTGGTCCTCTGAAGAATTTACGTCCACTCACCTTGTCCAATGCAGCCAGAAAAATTCTGTCTATGGCTACTCTTAAAAGGATAGAAGAAAAAGTGAACGCCTTCACTGGTCCATGGCAGTGTGCATATAAACGCGCTCGTTCTTGTGCTGATATTGTTTGGTGTCAGCGAGTTCTACTGTCAGTTGTCCAAAGGAAGAAATGGGAGTATCATCGCATGGGCATTGATATGTCTAGTACGTTTGACACGATCAAACGCACTACGATTCTTGAACTTCTGAAACTGTGTGGCTGTACTGAGGATGAGCTGAGGATTGTCCGGTTGTTGTTGTCCAACACAAAGCTACGGGTGAAGGTAAATGGAGTTCTTTCAGCTGAGTTTTTAAGTCTCCTTGGAGCTTTCCAAGGTGACTGTCTATCCGGCTGTCTGTTCACCCTTGTCTTGGCTGGTGCTTTGAATGAACTTAGATGATAACAATCAGTTTAGATAGGCCGATCCCCCCGATTACTAAATTTGCTGGCCTTCCACTTGACACTGAATATGCTGATGATGTTGACTTCAATGATGAAGAGGAAGACAACTTGAGAGCTATTTTGCCCCAGGCAACAGCTATACTCGAGAAATGGAACCTCTTTGTCAATGAAGACAAAACGGACTTCACTCATGTTTATTTAGCTAGTACGGTTGAAGTCGACAGTGATGGAAAATTAGTGTCGGGGAATGAAGCATGGAGGAAAAGTATCACTCTAGGGTCCGTCTTGTGTAGCAAAGCTGATATTCAGCGTCGCATAAACCTGGGATATGCTGCCTTTAACAATTACAAGAAGGCCTGGAGTGATAAACTGCCCCTAAACAAACGTCTAATACTGTATAATGCTTTAGTCGTATCGGTTCTTATGTACAACTCATCCTGTTGGGCCGTCCCCAAAATATTCCTTGAAAAACTAGATGTTGTTCACCGCAGACATCTTCGCACTATTTTGAATATAAAGTACCCAGTAGTCATCTCCAACAAAAACTTGTATAAACGCTGCAATGCTGAACCATTGTCAGAAAAAGTGGCCCGTAGTCGGTGGAGAATGTTAGGACATGTTTTGCGGGGTCCTATTGACGGACCAGCGTTTTCTTCCCTCATTTTTGCCATCAATACACTGGACTTACCAGGGAGAAGAGGAAGACCCCAAAGCAATCTATTCTCGCTGATTGTGCATGATTTATGTAAAAGAAATCTTTATTTGAATAATATCTTTGACCTGCATTATCTTATTATATTTTTTTCGAAAGTGCTTACTCTCAAAAAAAAAGGGGGGGGGGGGGGGGGTTCACCCTGATTTTTTTGTGAAACTTGTTTTCGAGATAGCAGTTGACCAACAAACTAGGACCAGTGACCGAACTTTTGAGGGGGTCCCGGACCCCAACCGCCAAACGGTGCCCGCGGGGCAGCCACGCCCATATTTTGTCCAAATTAGGCCCAATTTAGCCAAATACCCCTAACATGACTAAAACCCAGATTTTAGGTGCTCAAGATTGGACAAAAATGGCTGAGTTATGAGCCAAAAACAATATGACCATATTTGGGCATACGCACCAATTTTGATCGATTTTGGCCCATAAATTGGTCAAATATCAATATTTTTGAATGAAACTAACTTTATATGGAAGGTAAGTCTATACTACGCATTATCTATGATTATCAGCTCAGTATCTACCTAACTGTGGATTCTGTGTTCAAATAATCGCAAAAAATGAACAAAATTGCCCATATCTCAGTTTGCGATATTTGCAAAACTGACTTCGCTCAAAACAATAGAACTCAATAGGGTTTCAATATTTTTACATGAAATTTTCAGAATCAACGTAGAATCGCATTTCGACCTTAAGTTTTGGGACAGAATTTTGAGTTAGGCCTTTAAAAAAATTTGGCGGCCAAATTCTGAATTTTGCCGGGCATTTTTAAGATAAGACTTATACTCAGCAGTGTTTAATCTAAACATCCAAGAAAAGTACTTGAATACGGTTTTAAACAAAAACAAACAAACACTAACGATAATAACCATTAACATTATATCAATTAAAAATGTTAACTTACTTTCTTTGGAGAGATTGATGAAGGCGGAAACCTGAAATAGTGACTTTCAATAAATAATTTTCAATGGCAATACTTTTAATTATCCTGTCAAAACAACATGCAACTTAGAAACTCTGACCCTTTGAGTCCTTTACAGTAACGTAACCTTTCATTTATCTTGGATACGCACAAAGTGTTATTCGGTGGAGTTTTCAATACCAAGACCAAAAGCAGGCATTGAGCTGCAATGAGCATAAATGTTTAGAAGTCAATAAGATGTTCAACGTTTAAAAGTAGAAATGTATATTCTAACCTATTTTTGTTGTTTCTATCATTCTCATTGTTGTTGGAGGATTGTTGGTTGGTCTTGTCTACTGGTCGTGTTAAACTACTTGGACCCTTACCACGCAAACTGAAATTTGTATTTTACTTCCATCACAATATTTAAAACTTTCACTTTACCAAATTTAAAGTAATGTGTAATTAAACGAGTCTAAAACGTTTTTAGAAAAAATTTGTTTAGCAACTTTAAACAAATCTACAGCTATAACAGCTTGAATACTGAACACTCAATTTGTCATGATCTTTTTAATATTCATTAATTCAATTATTTAACAGTACCTGTTATGGAAACCACCACCTCTCATTATCTGATACCTTGCTAAGAAGAGACATTGTATAATTAATTTGTTAGATATATGGCACCGTTAGATGTTCAACTCCGAATATCATATCATTTAAATAAAATGTTAAAATGTAGAACTTTATTGTTCTCTCTAAAGAGACGATTAGAATCGGAATAGAGATAGGGATTAGGGGATTAGGGGATTAGGGGATTGGGAGATTGAGATTGTGATTGTGATTGTGATTGGGATTGGGATATTGTGATTGGGATATGGATTAGGGGATAGGGATAGAGATAGGGATAGGGATTGGGGGATTGGGATTGGGATAGGGGCAGCTGGTCAGCCGGCGCAATTCCCACGAATATCGTCACTTTTGGCAATAATGTCGTTTACATTTTGATAAGAGATTACAATGTCGTTTATCTCGTAATATTGTCATTAACAGAATATAATGTCGTTTATCTTCTAATATTGTCATTAACAGAATATAATGTCGTTTATCTTGCAATATTGTCATTAACAGAATATAATGTCGTTTATCTTGTAATATTTTCATTAACAGAATATAATGTCGTTTATCTTGTAATATTGTCACTAAGAGATTATAATGTCGTTTATTACCTAACAATGTCGTTTAAGAGGAGTGACATTGTGCCGGCTGCCCGATAGGGATTGGAATATTGGGATTGTGATTATGATTTTGATAGGGATAGAGATAGGGATAGGGATAGGGATAGAGGGATTGGGAGATTGGAATATTGGGATATTGGGATATTGGGATATTGGATTGTGACAATGTGATATTGGGATTGTGATTGTGACAATGTGATATTGGGATTGGGATTATGATTGTGATTGTGATTGTGATTGGGATTTGAATATTGGGATTTTCGGATTATTGGGAGATTAGCCTTAGATCACAAAACTCTGGTCGAGAAAACTTTTCTCAATGATCGCTAGAACATATTCTAAAAGCTTCAGGGTGGTTGCTCATAAAATGTGAGAGGAGATAGATGTTTAGACTCAATTTTCAGGGCGTGTGATTAAAAATCGATCATGCAACAAGTACTGACCTTTGACTGGTGATAAATTTAAAATTCGGCTAGGAACATTATTTTTCCTAGATATCACTCCCCTCCATCAGAAACTATAAAAGACTACACCCTCATACAAATAAGAGATAGAGGTGTAAATCTTGAAAAATATGCTTTGGAGTCCTTTTTTCCGGATCCAGAGCCAGCAACTCCTTACTGGAACTTAATGGAACTAGCTCCCTTCTGAGGTCAAAAATTCAGAAAGCATTCTGAGTTTTAATACTTAGCTGGAAAAGTATAAGAGTAGGAGTATTTATAATTCTTTGAGCATGAACGATAATTATTTTTTGGGAGGTACAATATTCTACAGATGTGACAACATTATAATCATCTTATCTACTTTAAAATAATAAAATTGTTCAAACTATATACACATAATTGTCAAAATGACCCTATATAAAAACAAGCCTTCAAAAAATCAATATATATTCCCTATATATATATCCCTTTATACAATAAAAGGATTGTAGAAGTGGAACATGGGACGTTTACACCGATAATCCTATCAACCACTGGGGGTATGGGAAGGGAAGCTAATAAGTTCTTCAAGAAATTAGCGGATAAACTTTCTAGGAAATCAGGCCAACGATATAGTGAGGCAATGACATTTATTAGGAAGAGAGTAAGATTTGACCTTTTGAGAACAACAGTCATAGCTCTTAGAGGAGAGAGAGGGTTAAAAAGTAGTAGTGCAGTAAAAATAGCAGAATTAGATATAAATTTGGAGCCAGTTCTTTAAACTGGCTTACTTATACTACTTAAAGGGTGTTTATTTAGTTTTCTATTGAATTTATATTGAATTTTTATTTAGGGTAATTGTTATATTATGTGTATATTGTTTGAATAATCTTACTATTAAAAAATATATATATTCCCTATCTCAAATATTGGGAGAAACATTTGAATATTAACCTTGACCTTGTGGCTCCAAATTCAAATCCAAACTATTTATATCAACAAAATTCTTTCTCGCACCTCTGTCCCCTGTAGAGCAGTGGCGTAACGAAGGGCCCCGCTATCCCCGCTGTGCACGGGGGCGCCGTCTTAGGGGGGCGCCAAATCGTCGTTTGAATGTGGGACAATTTCTAAAACTTAACCTAAGTACTACCAAAACTGCGCGTTTTGCTCTAGATAAACACTTTTTTAGAGATTTTACAGGAGTATCCTCTAAAATCACCTAATTTGTTCAATTTTAGGGAGGGGCACCAAAAGGGGAGGAGGCGCCAACAGGGGGGCGCTTTTTCGGCGGGGGGGGGGGGGGGGGGGGGGGGGGCGCCAACAGGCAACGTTACGCCACTGCCGTAGAGAAATCACTGTTGTGAAATCACTTGACTGAACCTAGAGTACATACACAGTATCATGGAGAGAGATCGTTTCAGAAAGTTGGCCCTAAATTATGGAATGAGCAGCCTCTTGAAATTAAGAACTGCATGTCCTTGGACTCTTTTAAAGTGTATCTAAAAACGTTTCTTTTCGAGCGTGCTTGTGATACTCCCAAATAGTTTTTTATAGCAAAGTTTTAAAAATGTACGTCTTGATAATGATTATTTTTACCTTAGTTTTCCGCCCTCTCCTAACTATGTAAACACAGAGAAAGCTTTTAGTCACTGTGCAGTTAAAGTATTTAATTCCTTGCCATACGACATAAGATCAGCTGAGTCAGTTACATCTTTCAAGACCAAACTTAAAACATACTTCTTTTCTCTAGCATTTGATTGATTTTGCATTTACATAGGTAAAATGAACTTGTCATGTCTAATTTTCAATTAAACTAAGCTCAGTTAATGTAAGAGCCGCTTTAGAAAGCACTGGAGTTTATCTCCAGGATTAAATTATATCGAGTTATATGATTTAGCTATAAGGCTTTCTCTTAAATTTGATCCTTCGAACAGCTGTTGAGCAATGAAACGCAAACATAATCTTAGCTATAAGGCGGTTTATAAATGTTGTATTTATTATTATTATAAAGGGTCTCAATAAGAGGTCTCGACTGCCTAGGCGTCAAACCTTGGCAGTCGGTAGTTTTCCTCTGGCCCGGGATCAGCTGACCCTAGGGACCAGAGGGTAAAGGTGTAGAGACTATGTGTATCTACAAATCTTTCGAGGTTGTTTTTACAAGAGACAGGGCTTGCTACGCAAGGGAAGAAAACCGGGAGAAACAATCACAAATTATACAAATAAGTATTATAAAACCTAGCAAAAAGAAATTAAAACAATCCTACACTACTACAAATGTTTATTACATACTACAATGTAATACACGATAAATAAATGCTGTATTATCAAGAAACAGGGCTTGCAGGGCAAGGGCGGAACACAGGGACTGGCTACAGAGTGTATAAAACAGTGATTCAGCAAGTACCCATTGGGTATTGCTGAATCTGACCCACAAAATACCACAATCAATACAAGAATATACAATATTTAAACAAACATCATGTTTATACAAGAATCAGGGCATGCAGATGCAGAGCAAGAGAAGAAGAATAAGAGAAAAACTCCAACACATGTATACCCCTTTAGTCCAGTAAATAACAATAATTACTTGTACACAAAACTGTATTTAATATAAAATACATAACAAATACACAGTCTACCCAATATACGGGTTAAAAATTGTATAAACAAGAGACAGGGCTTGCATAGCAAGGGAAGAGATATAAGAGGACCAGGTAAAAAGTGTTTATTACAGTATCCAGTGAAGAATAAACTAAATATAGAATATCTACAGTGTATTATACTCTCAATAATATCATATGTCTAAGACCATCCTGAGAATTCTGGCTGATCCAAGCAGAGCTGTCTTCTGGAGATTAGAGATGCTCAGATTGCAGTGGACTGCGTCGAGGTGTTTACGAAAGTTAATGGTGATAGTTCCTAATGCGCCTATCACCACAGGGACGATTGTGACCTTTCGTAAATTCCAGTTCTCCTTAATTTCTCTTTTTAGGTCTTGATATTTCAGTATCTTTTCTTGTTCTCTATCCAGGATCCGGGTATCTCCTGGGACTGCAACGTCAATGATAGTTGCTGCGTTGGTTACCTTGTCTACCAGGAGGAGATCCGGTCTGCAGTGTTCGATAACGTGGTCCGACTGGACATGGAAGTCCCACAATATCTTGACTTTTTCGTTCTCCAGCACCTTCTCTGCCCGGTGTTCGTACCACCTTTTACTGCGTGGGAAGCCGTATTCCTTGCACAGACTCCAGTGCAATGCGGCAGCTACTTTGTCATGCCGACACTTATATTCTGTCTGTGAAAGTTTTGGGCACCCATTCAGTATGTGGTCTATTGTCTCGTAATGATTTCTGCAGAGTCTGCAGAGGGGAGAAGAGCCAGGTGTTTTGTCAATCCTGTGCTTCACATAATTCGTCCTAAGTGCTTGGTCTTGGGCTGCTATCAACAATCCTTCTGTCTCCTTCTTCAAGTCTTGTTGAGTGAGCCAGTTCCAAGAGGTTAATGGGTCCGCTATACCCATCATCTGCCTTGGGAACTGTCCGTGCATCACTTTAGCAGTCCACTTCTCCTTGTGGATTTCCTCGCGTTGTGTTCGGTCGATATCTTTCTCTATCTCTTCACCCAAGAGTATCTTGTCTTTGACAAAGTAGTCGTTCAGAGCAATCAGTTCTGGGTCTCTACTTCTCACCACATAAGTGGTGAGTGCATTCTCCTCTCTCTTTACGACTTCCTCTATACTATGTAGCCCACGGCCACCCAGTTGACGGCTTACGTATAACCGATCAACATCTCCTTGGGGGTGGTGAGCTCCATTTATCCTCATCAGTTTCCGGGTCTTGACATCTGAGGCTTTGGTCTCTCCAGCATTCCATGAGATAATTCCAGCTCCATATCTTATCACAGGTACAGCCCAGGTGTTAATTGCTTGTATACTATTCCTGCCATGAAGCTGGGATTTTAAAACCTTTTTAACTCTTCTGATATACTCTTTTGTAACCAGTGCTTTCATCTCTTTGTGCAGTATATCATTGGCTTCTAGTATTCCCAGATATTTATAGCCCTCGTCCTCCAACTCATGGATCTGTTCACCTGTGGGTAGGGAGATGCCTTCGAAAACGGCTCTTGCTCCCTTCTTCACCTTCACCACGGCACATTTCTCTAGCCCGAATTCCATTTTTATGTCACTGCTGAACTCTGCTGTGGTATTAACCAGTGTTTGCATTTCGTCTTCACTCTCGGCATACAACTTGAGGTCGTCCATGTATAGCCTATGTGACACTTTCGGTCGACCTCCCTTCTCCAGAGAGTATCCTATGTCATGCTTATTCAAAAGAATGGACAGGGGTATAAGACTCATGATAAAGTGAATAGGTGATACTGAGTCTCCTTGGAATAGACCTCTATTAATTTTAATTCTCCCAAGGGAAACTTTACCAAGCATCAGGTTAACATACGATTGCTTGAAGGAGGCTTCAAACAGATCTATGATGGATGAAGAGATACCACACATGGTCAAACAAGACAGAATCCAAGAGTGTGGGACGCTATCATACGCCTTCTTGTAGTCTATAAACGTCATGTGAACAGGTTCCGCTTCCTTCGTTTACAGTTCTTCAGAATGAGTTTGTCTATCATTAACTGTTCTTTACATCCTCTGCTCTTCTTCTTGCACCCTTTCTGCTCAGGGGGGAGGAGTTTTTGCTGGTCTAAATGGTTGTATATGGAATCTGAGATTAGACCAGTGAACAGTTTCCACATAGCTGATAAGCATGTAATAGGTCTGAAATTGCCTGGGATGGGTCCTTTGGAGTGGTCCTTTATGAGCAGGTACGTGCGTCCCAATGTCATCCAGTCAGGGATATCAGCGTTGGTTAGGCAACTCATAAGTTGATCTGCAATCCTATTGTGGAGTTCTTTAAAGTGCTTTATCCAATAAGCATGCAGTCCGTCTGTACCAGGAGAGGACCAATTGGTCATTTTCTTCACTCTATCTGCAACCAGGGTGTTAGTTATAACAAACTGTCGCTGTTCATCTGCTGAGGCTAGTGCTGTTCTGACATCCGGTAACCATTCAGCATCACTGTCATGTTCAACCGGCTGCTCCCATATGTTCTTCCAGAACTTCAAACAAGAATCCTTGTCAGCCTCAGGGTGGGAGATATCCTGTTCTTCAGGGTTTGTTTGAAGGTTTCTGTAGAACTGCCTCTGGTTGTTTCCAAACAACTTGTTCTGGTGGTATCGTTCGCATCTTTTATTAAATCTCTTTATCTTAGCTGCTTTTGCACGTAGACATTGCTTGAGCTCCTCAATGATGCATGATATACCCTTTTTCTTCAACAGGGGGTGACGTCTGTTGAGCCCTTCTAGTATTTTTTGTTTAAGGGTAATACCTTTCTTCTTCTCCTCAAGATAAGAGATGTCTTTCCTCACCTGGGTAATCTTATCTTCGATTCTTCTTTTCCATAGCGGAGTTTTCCGCTTCTCTGCATTCTTATTTGCAGGTTTTTCACCAAGTCTTTCGCTGACTAAATGTGCTCCTGCAAGCAATAGAGTCTTGGTTTCAGTGATTGAAGAAGTAGGAATCTCTGCTATACATGAGTTGATGAGAGATGTTTCCTCCATAAGCTTCTTTCTGTTCACATGTCTCAGGGGCTTGGTTTCTATCACTGAAGGGTCTTCTAAGAGGGTTTTTAGCCGCTCAATGATTGCCTCCTTGTCAAAATCAGGTACCGTTGCGGTGGGGGTGAGTTCTTCGGCGGCAACAGTTGGGATAGTTGCATCCCTCAACGTCCTGATTGCTTGGGAGACTGTGGGTAGAGCTTGAGTTGTCGTTGTTGGAGCCTCTTCCACTACGCTAGGTGGAAGAGTACCTCGAATCTCCAATAGTTCTATGTCTGAGAGGAGATTATTATTTCTGATTGACCTTGCTTGGTCTGCCAATCTTTGTTCTGTACAAGTGAAGAGTCCGGCATCATCCCACAGTGACCGGAGTCTCCTTCTATAACCAGAGCGGGATGGTTGGCTCTGGTAATACAGCGTCATGAGCTGTATGTTGTCCTCCTTGCTCCACGTGTGACGAGTGGAAGTCTCAGTGCGAGCCTTCCTCTCACGGCGTGCTGGAGGGGCGATGTTAGGTTGTTGATCCTGCTCTGACCTATTAGTAGGGAGAGTAGGAGAGTTTGAAAAATTTGAGAGAGAATTCATATCATAACTGGGGGACTTGATATACCCCCTAGAGAGTTGGCAGGGAAAACAGAGCACTGAGCGTTGCCCCGCGTCGCCCAGCTTCCCAGGTAGCTACCTCCTGGCTAGTAGACCCGTTAGTAACCATTTAACCCATGGCCACACATCCTTTTGTCACGAGTCCACAACTTAAGATTGGGGGACATCTGCGGGTCAGTCCATGCCCGGAAGGAAAACCACTAGGTGTCAATTGCACCTAGTCAAGAAACCAAGAGCTAGAGCAGAAGGATAAAAGATTTTCACCAACGAGAGGCAAGAAAGGGAATTAACCGGGGGACAAGTAACATCAAATACAAGGATATATATAACATAATTTCAATTACAATGTAATTACTAATACAATGGGTATGGTAAATGGTAACACTATAAATAGTAATTATTTACTAAGGATGGAGAATCTTTCAGTACTGACAGTCTATGCTGCTATGATAACGAATAAATATATAATAAGGGGATAAATCTTAAAATACTGCTGTTTCAGTCACAGATACTTTTCTTGGTTTTTCCATTTTGTGCTTTTTTTTGTCTTTTTTGTTTTTAACTTTTTTTTGTAATTTTCTTTCTTTTTTTTTGTTCCTTCCTAAACATTATTATTATTATTATTATCTACTGACTCTTTCAATCTTTAATTTGTAAATGTTTCTACTGAAAAATGCATGTAACTCCTTAATCTTTAAAATGTGTTTAGAACAGGAGGTGACCGGGACATGATTTTAGGCCTGACCGGGACCAGGACCGGGACCGGGATACAAAATGTGACTTGACCGGGACCGGGACTGAGATTATCAATTTACCGTGACCGGGACCGGGACCGGGACCAATAATTTCTGGGATTTCTATCTTACCGGGACTGGGACCGGGACCAACAATCCAATTTTACCGGGATGACCGGGATGACCGGGATTTGACCAGGATGACCGGGATGACCGGGATTTGACCGGGATGACCGGGATTTGACCAGGATGACCGGGATGACCGGGACCAAAACTGGTATTCTCATATTGAAAGCTGCAACTTTCATTTACATTATAATTGAACAATTTGAATAAGTAATAACTAGAATACGGGTATATGACCCCCAGAATATAGGTCGTTTTTTGAGCACTTAGAAACAGGTGTTAAAACTACTTCTAAGCATGTTTAGGGCTGTAAATATGTACATAATAACCCTTTAAATGTTTCTTGGGTAGTTGAAAATAATTATTAGGTTTTTAAGTGTACTTTTTTTTCACCTGTAAAAATACCATTTTTTAACAGGGCCCCCAGAATATAGGTCCAAACATCTGTTCCTAAGTTGTTCTAAAATTGTCACAGACAGTTATATGCAGTCAGAATATGTTGCTGAGACTGTATTGATGATGCCAATGGCTCCAGATACTAAATTGAAATGGTTTAGAGTATACTTAATAGCAAAAAATCAAAAACTACGGCCCCCAGAATATAGGTATGCAAAAATCGTCCTCAAATACTCCACCTTCATACATTTTGATGATGCCATCTCTTCAGCATATGTTCTTTAACTGTTTCTCATCACTACCCCACATTCCTTAATGCTCAGGGTGACAGAGAAAATGCAGAATCTTGGTCGCTTTTTTTTTTTTTAAACCTATATTCTGGGGGCCATATACCCGTAATGAGTAAAATCTTTAATTTTACTTGTTAAAAAGCTTTCATGCACTCATTTAGTAGGGATCTTAACTAAATACTTAAATAAGATTGAAGGAGTGTCCCTAGATATGATTGAGGGGGGCTGTTTTTATCTGTATCAATACAATGCTATGGACAAGAGACTTGAAAAGTTAGAGGATATAATGAGCAGCATAAACGAAAAACAACATGAAACTGCTACCTCCCTTAAAGCCTTTGAAGCAGATGTCACTGCAATTAAGAACAAAGTAGATGACTCTAAGGCCTGCCTACAGTCTCTCCAGCTTAATGACCGCACCACCCCATCCAGAAAAAAGCCATCGCCTCATCCTCAAAACCAGAACCACCCAACCCACAGCCCTAGTAGACAAACACGAAAACCAAAAAAGGTTCTACTCCTACATGACTCCCAGATGAACAACTTTCTACCTGAGTCATTTTCCTCTGGGTTCAAGGTGGAAAAAATGAAAGTAGGCTCTTATACTGACATGATAAAAGACCACTGTATGAGAGATGTCATTAAACAGCCAGAGGTCGACTGTTACATTCTCCAGCTTGGAGTCAATGACTACAGATACAGAACCTGCTCTGTTAATAAAGCGATTGAGGATGCAAAATCAGTCATCGATAAACTCCTCTCGAGCTCCAGTGCAAAGGTTGTCATCTCCCTACCCACCCCAACCCCTGGATTAATCAGTGAACTTACCAACCAATTTGTCTCAGAAATAACCCAATTTGTCTCAGCTAAAAGAGGGTTAAGTGACTTTTACCGCCGCCTATATACTGTAAACAATACTGGAAACTTTTCCCGTGCCATCTCTGCTGCTGAGTCATCCCAAGACTCTCCTAACCCGTTGAAGGAGGACCAACTTCATGTCTCAGAGTATGGTTTGAAAAAACTTTGTTTGAATATTAAACTTGGCCTATACCGTGCCTTTGGTATGAGATCCCATAGAAAGCAGCCCCCTACAGAGCGTTAGATTAACCCTAAAATTCAAGAAAAAACAAGTATCACGAGATCAAGTCGCTGTGATGTCCTGGAACATCCAGGACAGCACAGGAGACGGGTCTAACAAATTTGAAAATAGCGAATTTTTGTCAATCCTCAAACAAGCTAACATTCTTTGTCTTCAAGAAACAAAGAAGCAAGTTAAGATTGAAGGATACCTCTCTTTTAATAGCAACCGCAAAAATTCACGCTCAGGAGGGGTCTGCATTCTTGCTGAAAATGACCTAAGAAAAGGTGTCTCTAGTGTGCTTTGTAATGAATCTGATGACATTATTGTTGTTAAACTGGACAAGAACTTTTTTAAACTTGATTTTGACCTATTTTTGGTATGTTATTATATTAGCCCTGCATACTCGTCCTATGTCAAGAAGAATCCAGATTATACTGCTAATACCTTCTCTGCTCTTGACTGTATCTGTATCAGACTACGTCAAAAGGGAGAAGTTATTATGTGTGGCGATGCAAATGCAAGAACTGGAAAACTCCCAGACTATATCCTTTCCTGTAATGCACCTGCCATCCATGACATCTATAACGACATTGGACTCGAGCACGACATAGAAGAACCAAGAAACAATTCTGACCTTACAATATCTGAACCCCACTGCCAACACTTCCTTGACATGGTTATCAATAACCAACTCAAAATTCTTAATGGTCGTACCCTTGGGGACACCACTGGAAAAATGACCTGTCACAAATACAATGGAAGCAGTGTGGTTGACTATTTTGTAATCACCTCATGGGCAAGAGATCATGTAAACTCTCTCCAAGTAAAAGAGTTTACATCATACTCTGATCATTGTCCATTAGTCTTGAAACTCACTACATTTGAACCATTTGTCGCAAACTTCCAGCTCCCAGACTTTTCTAACTTACCTTGTGGCTATAAGTGGGACAGCAACACCTCCCATTCACTATTTAAAAAAGCCCTTACCTCGCCCGAAATTATCAACAATCTGGAAAGCATTGTGACAAATGAATTTAGCAGTACTCTGGAGGGCAATCACGAACTGAACGATGCAGTCATAAAATGTCTCCACAGTGCTGCTGATATAGCCTTAAAAGTGAAAAAGCCTCCCAAAAATTCTGCCCGTAAAAAATGGTTCGACCCACAAGTCAACTCCTCGCGGCGGAACCTTAATAGGCTAGCAAATCGGCTTGGTAGTAAGCACTGTAACAGTATCCTCAGACTAGAATATTTTAAGCAACGCAACAAGCATAGCAATTTTGTAAACAGTAAGAAAGTAGCTTTCCTTAAGAAGTTAAATGAAGCTATAGAAGAAGGTCACATACTCGACTGGAAAAAATTTAAACGGCTTAAACAAGAACATGACACTAGCCCCTTACTTGACAAATTTGATTTAGCTAGCTTCCATGACTTCTTTGCATCCCTTTATAAAAAACCAGACCAGGAGCCAGATCTCACTCACCACAATCACAAACATTACCCTGAACCACCAGATCTGGATATCCTAAATAAGCTCATGTCAGAATCTGAAGTGACCTCTGCCATCAAAAATCTCAAAAAAGGTAAAAGTTGCTCAAACGACTTGATATCCAACGAGATGCTTCAGAGCGTAACTCCGCTTTGTCTCAAAGCCATCCTCAAAAACTTCAACCACTCACTGGTCTCCGGTTACTATCCATGGCACACCAGCATCATTACTCCTATTTACAAGTCTGGCAACCCTTTCAGCCCGGACAACTACAGAGCAATAGCTGTTGGTAGCTGTATGGGTAAACTGTTCTCTAGCATCTTACTTGAGCGTCTCCTGCACTTCAAAAAGCTCTACTGCCCTGACCCAAAAGAACAACTAGGGTTCTCGAAGGGTGCTCAAACAAATGACCACGTTTTTACCCTTAAGACAGTCATTGACAAATATACCAAGGTTAAAAAAGCTCGTCTCTATGCATGCTTTGTTGATCTAAGAAAGGCCTTTGACACTGTATGTAGGGACCTCCTTCTGCACAAAATCACATGCCTTGGAATAACTGGAAACTTCTTCAATTGCCTAAGTGATATGTATAGAAACTCAATAGCTCATATAAAAATCTCCAAACTCTTGTCCCCTAATATTGACATTGGAAAAGGAACAGAGCAGGGACACCCTCTATCACCGGACCTTTTTAAAATCTATATCAACGACTTGTCATCTCTCCTGAAATCTGTTGGTGATTATCCTATTCTAGCTGACGTCCTAATATCACATCTGCTCTGGGCTGACGATCTTGTCCTACTTGCCCTAAGTCCCAAGGCCTTGCAAGACAATATAAACATCCTATTCGACTTCTGTAACTCTAT